ACACACACACACACACACACACACACACACACACACACACACACACACACACATGCCCACTCAAACATTATCATGTACATACTCCGTTTTTTTGTGTGGGTTTTTTCAAACGCTGGAGAAACTTTAGCAAAGCTCACAATGTTAAGGTGTGGTTACACACCCCCGTTCAACCTGGTGACTTTGACGTTATGCTTTCTATTGCCATTCCACTCTTGCTTGTGGCCGTTGCTTTGACCTATTTATACGCCGTTTACTCATCTTTCAGACTAAACTGTAATTGTACTTCATGCTAGAATTATGGCTATTTAAGATGTGTGCAAAAAGAGGTCCCACGTGCCGTATTAAACTGATGAGTATATTATGATGTCTCGCTATATTGTCATTTGACACTTGTTTGTGGCTGTTGCCTTAGCCCACGATTCTCATACGGGGTGCCCACGACGGCTGGATCGGGCCAATGGACCGACTCGATCGCCTGAAACTGAAAACAAACACGTTTTTTTTTAGGCGATCAGACCCATCGGCCGATCTCATCCGTATTGGGCACCCGTATTACTTTTCCTGTCAGACCAGACTTTTGCCGTCTTCGTTACATGACTAGAATATGTTAGGGTGTGGTCACACTTTGTATTATCTTCATGACTTTGTAATGCTTCATACCGCCACTCCACCCTCTCGTGTGGCCGTGGTTATAGCCTATACTTCTTATCTACACATCCTGCAGACCAAACTTTATAATGGTGTCCGCTTTAAGTTTTTGTTTGTCAACTTTTCTTGTCACGGTCATGGGGAAACCATCACGAAGTACCTGGGGAAAGGAGAAAACTCAACAACAATAATAACAAATAATAATAATAATAATAATAATAATAATAATGACAAGGATAAAAATAATACACCATAAAGACGTGGTCTCAGTGGTACCTGTCATCCATACCAACCACAAGTTCAAACTTACAGTTGTCGGGGTCATGTTCAGCCCACGTTTGAAGGACTCTAAAGGACGGAGAGGGAATGTGCTTGCCCTTGTAGCGTATAGAGGTCTCGTCATAGTTGCCCACACCCTCCTCGCCATCTCCTGTATACCACATCATAGGGGGAAAAGGGTTGGGGGATGTGGGGTAGGAGGAGGCATCATAGGAGATACCGCGGATATTGTCCAGTGTTAATTTGAGTAAAGAGAAGCACATCGGCACGACATCGATTATTTGGTGTAGGGAAGAGACAACATAGATATTTACAGAAACAACAGAGGGAAAGAAAAGAAGTAAACCTGCCTGTCATGCCCTTAAACCACCCGTATTAGGATTAAGATTATTCGGTGCACAAAGATAGTAGATAGGAGTAATGGCTTCCCCGAAGTAACATACTCTGAGTTTCATGTTCCTACATGTAGGCCTACAGAGTAACAACTTTCAGTCTATCATGACTTGATACAGAACAACGGACTAAAAATGTAGTGATAATAAGTATTCCGAATATTTGCTTGAGTTTCAAAAAGTAAACTTATTTAAGGACC